CACGCCCAGACTCTAGCTTTACATAACAGGTCCTGCTGACCTCCAGCTCATCTCTCCCTGTTTCCAGCAATGAGGGCTCCACCAGGCTGAATCGCTCTCAGTTTCCTCAGTAGACACTCCTGCGGTGGCCCCTGAGCCCAGCGAAAAATCCCTTATAATGCACCTCAGCCACCACGGAAATATGTTCAACTGCTTTTCTCAGTCTTATACAAAGTGCTTGGCAAGTGCAGTTTCCAGCCCCTCCCTCCAACATGATTGCCACTCCGGATCCAACTTATATAAACATTCTAAAGCCAACTATCCCACTCTTAGCACTTGTTACACTGTATCACCACTGCCTATTTCCTTGTCTGTCTTGACCGCATGCACCAGGCTGCTCTGCTCACCACTGTATCTCTAAGAACCTACCACCCAGCCACGTTCCTGAGAGGCCCTCAAATGCTGGCTGGGTTGGGACTGATTAGTTACAGTGGATGGGGTTCTCCTGACCAAAATGAGGGCAGCATTTCCAAAGGCCACAGGACTCAGAGATGTGGCAAGTGAGACACCAGTCCGGGACCTTCTTTGGGACCATTCGTGTGGGAGCCCAGACCCTCAAAATTCAGGGAGCTTGTGGAGCTACCTTGGGGATTCCCAGGAAGGGAACACTGCAATTTCCCCGATGGCTGAGGCTGGAGCCTGCAGAGGCCTTCTGACTCCCTGACCATCCTATGGCTCCAGCAGTCTCTCTTCTTGCCGTAAGATGGGCACCGTAACACAGACCAGAGGAAAGTACTGACCTTCCTCATATCTGTAAGACACTGACCTCTGTAAAAGATGCAGCATAGAAAACTTAAATAATCAGGACGCTCACAAAACCATTGGAATGGTCAATGGTGAAGTCTTTTATTTTCTAAGCAATGAATGTGTGCATATTGATCTCGAGCAAAATATTGATTAGAACGGCTGGGGGGCTGCGAGTCAGACAGCCCTATCTCCAGCACCTGAGGATGGAGCAATCTGAGCTATCAGCGCTCAAGTCGCTGTTACAGAGCGAGGACTGCCCCATCCATTCCCTGCAGCTGGATAAATGCCCACGTGTCCACATGCATTTGTCACCTTCCCATCAACTCCAATCACAAAGGCAAACCTGAGACACTTAATTCTGAAGCGCAGGACACTAATCCTGTTTACTGCATTCTCTTCCGTTTACTCCTATCGTACCAAATGATTAATGGTGTTGTTGCTGTCATGTCCCCAGAGGCATGTGGATATACTACATAACTATCACTCACAGAGCAGGGGTTCACAAGCTGCACTCTGATTGGCTCAGAACAGAGACTTGGTCTGGTACTCTGGCCAATCAGGAAAAACATCTCTCTCCATTCATAAAACACTACACCATAAAATGAGGCGGATGATTAAAGAACTTACAGTCCACCCTCAGTGAACCAAGGGACTGCAAACAAGGAGAGAAGGATAAATTGAGACAGTAAGTAAACCCTAAACCACACATTTTGTTCCAGCAGATACTACTCTCCTCATGTGTTAGGTTTTTAATGGCGGGAAAAAAACAAAAGCTGAACACAAGTGTTACTCACTACAAGCAGGTACAGTTAGCAGGAAGCTAGTCTGGAATTAAAATCTCACCTCTGCAAACCCACTCCATGATGTGCTTCCTGAGTGACACTAAAGGAACCAGCACTATTCTTCAACAACAGTAAGGCACTGTCTGCCTGCTTCATAAGGACATTTTCCTTCAAACCTCCTCTCCCTTTTAAAGGTTGTGTGAAACTCAGAGAGTATCACTCCAATGGAAGGCCATCAGAGGAAAATGTGAGCTTCAGTAGGGCAAGACCCTGGTGAGGCTTGGCATCTAGAAGCTATTCAATATTTGCTGAACTGATGAAGCATTCCCAATAAAGGACATCTGACCACATCTTCCTCCTACTCAGAGCCTTCAAAGGCTTGTGACTGCTCTTAGGAAGAAGTTTAAATCCTTCCGTGTGTTTCTGATCAGGATCCTCTGTGATCTGGTCTGTTTGGCCCTCTGGCTTCACCTGACTCCCCTCTAGAATCCAGCCATCCTGAGCACTCTGGCAGTTCCCCCATACGACCTCTGTTCTCATTGTTCTCAGACTCTGCACATGTGGGGCAGGTCTCAAACGCTTGTCCCCACCTGCCCTCCTTTGCCCAGCCAACTCTTACTTGGCCTTTCCGTGCCTGGTAAGGGCTTGCTCCTGAATAGGCTACTGTCTGGGAGCTGCTATGGGATCTACTGTGGCCTCCTGTACTGACCCTGCAATGGCTGCTTGCCTGCCTTCTCCTCCTCATATCAGCTTCCCAAGGATAAGAATTGGGCATCTCTTTTTTTTTTCTTCTTTACTAGGTCACCAGTTTATTAAACTTGGAACAGCCTGATGGAAGAGATACATAGGGCAAGGTCTGGGGAAGGGCATGGCGCATCCATGCCCTCTCCAAGTGTGCCACTCTCTCCAAACCTCCACTTGTTCACCAACCTGGATGTTCTCTGAACCCTGTCCTTTGGAGGTTTTATGGAGGCTTCATTACATAGGAGGCACGCCTGACCAAATTACTGGCCACTGGTGACTGATTCAACCTCCAGCCCCCTCCCCTCCTGGGAGGTGGGGGGACATGGCAATACTGGACATTTCTTGATCAGGTTCTGTCCCTAGTGCCTGACCCTCAAGAAAATGATTCTCAAGAAATATTTACTGAAAGCTGCAAGACACTGATCTGGAAGGCCTGATCCAAGTTAACAAGCTATACAACTCTTTGGAATGAAGAGCTGACGCACTTGGGCTCACTCATAAGAGCTGGGGTGGGGCCCAATGTATTTCTAAACCTACAGAACTTGGGAAGGACCCATAAGACAGGTATGGGCCCCACTGAGCCCTGCCCCTTCCTAGTCCATGTGCCAAGAATGGGGCTCTGAAAAAGCTGACATAAACCCAAAGGCACACTGAAATGAGAGCTAGAGGCTGCTGAAATTCTGATGAACACCACATATAGATTCTTGTTGGGTTTTGTCAGGTTGGGTTTTCAGTTTATGCTTCTGTTTATTTAAATAAAGCTCCTTTAAATGGCTTGGGGCAGCATTAACTCTGAAGCTATTAAAGGCAGGTCTGAGAATACATGTATGTAGTCCAAGTCTCTCTTGGAAGGAAGGGATGAGGGATCTTCCAGACATCTGCTGCCTGGAGGACCAGAAGAAATGTTAGATTGAGACGTACCCCTCCCTGACCCTGGCCCATTTGGTATAGACCAAGCCAGTGACTTATAGTTGTGTAGAGTGTCACGTGTGATTTTCCAGACAACTCTTAACGTTTAATAAAATGTGAGCCATCCCTTCCTCATTCTAAAGGCCCTCCCTGCCTCAGACAATTTTCACATACTTTAACCCCTTCCCTCCTACTAAACGCCTTTATCTAGGGATCAGCATTAACAATGGTAAGAGATTAAAACAATAACAAAGTGGAAAGATTTCCCACTCTCCTCCTAAAACTAGAGTAAAGAAAAATTTAAAGTCTAGAGGATTTAAAAAAAGAAAGAAAGAAAAACAGGTTGAAAAACACATTTATCCTCATCGGGTAGCCTCTTGTACAAGACTGAGATGCTACTGCCCAGCTTTGGTTAGTTGTGTACAATGGGTATTAATTCCAGTTGCAGGCATAAGGTGTCCATTTCAGAGCTAATAACTCCTCTGAAAGCAGACTAGTAACCGAAACGTGGCCATGGATTCCATCTAATTCACAACTAGAGTCTCCCACTCAAACCTAAAACTGTTCAAAATTCCCTGAGTCCCTAGAGCAGGAAGTCTTGTAACAAAGCACTTTCCCCCCTTTAATGATAAAACCTCAAACCACAAGGGTAGAAGAGAGAAGCTAGCAGAAGTGCCCCTCTAACTGTCTATTCTTATATGCTGTTTATTGGATCATTAAAGTCTTACAAGGACTTCGTGGTAATTTTAATTATTGAATTTAAGGCTTGTCTCAGCTGTTTGTATCAATACATAAGTCTCTTACTTTCAAACTCAGGAATATTTTTCCCTAACATCTTGTCTAAAAGAAACTTCCAAGCAATCTACTGACAAGATCCTTGAGTGGTCTGTGATCTCTGCAGGAGTGGAGGTGGGGCGCGCCATTCCGCACACCTGTTGTCAGGTGGCATGGCCAACAGCATCCTGCACACTCACCTCCTCACTCCACCCCACCCCCAGCGAGTCTCTTCCCTCCCGGCCTTCTCCACCCGAGGAACCTACAGCCTTCCAGCCTTCCGGAGTTACCTTTAAAAAAAAAACCTCCCAACCACAAAGCAAACAAAAGGCCGGTCAGAAGACGAGCGAAAGCTGCGGGGGTTCCCGTGGCCCCTCTCCAGGCAGTCCCTGAACAAACCTCTCCCCGCCCCTGCCTGGTTGCAGTCCCGCAAGTATCCCCCAACCCCCCACCCCACCCTCACAGCAGATACCATCCAGACGCCTACACCACGGCCACCTGGGGCTCGGGCCCCACTTTTTGTGCCGGGGCCGGCAACTCGCCGGCGGACGGGCGCCTCACCAAGTACAACTCCGCGCACAACAGCTCCCGGGCGTCCAGGCCCAGGCCGACCGGCCAGCTCCCCGCCGCCTCCCGCGGCCTCGAGTCCAGCCCGCCCGCCCCGGGAAGGGTCGCCGGGGGAAGGGCCAGGGCTGTCTCCTGCCCACAAAAGCGCCCAGGCGCAGGCAGGAGGACGCGGTTCTAAGAGAAGTTGGCTTCCGGGTTTGCTTTTTGAACAAAACCAGAGGGACTCCCGCGCGGCCGGGGCAGGGCCTGCGAGGGCGCCGTGCGTGCGCGAGGCCCCGGCGTGGGCCGCGCTGAGGCCGGCGGCCCGAGCGCGGCCGTGCGCCGCCCGGTACACGCCAGGCCCGGAGGCTCCCAGGCACCCTCGGCCGGAAGAGCGAGGCGGCCGGACCCGGGCGGCGGGGACGGGGCGCGCGGCGAGGGGGCCCGTGCGGCACTTACGGGGCGGCTTGGCGGCGGCGGCGGCGGCAGCAGCAAGGTGTCTGGCCTGTGCCCTCTCGGCCGCTCGCGCCTTTTCTTCTCCGCGCTCCTGGCTGGCCCGCCCGCCTCCTCGCTTCCCGCCCGCGCGCCCCGCGCTCGCCCCCTCCGCCCGGCTCCGCTGCTGAGTGAACTGGAACCACTAGCCGCGGCCCCGGGATTCCCACAATGCACAGCGCGCCGCTCGTCACATCCCATCCCGTCCCCGCGCGTCCGGCCACCCCTCCCGCTCCACCCGGGCGCCCCGGCCTTGACCCCAAGCCCGCGGCTGCGCGCGCGGGGGACCCTCCGCGCTGTATCGCCTGGACGTCGGTGGGTCAGTCCCCTGGCCGCATCGCGGTCCTGGCTCTGGCCCTCAGCCCTCGGTCAGCTCGCCAGGACACCGAACGCTGGGTCCCGCCCGAGCCGGGGACTCGCCCTGAGCTAAGTCCTGGGAAAGGGTCGGGACCCCGGCAGAGGCACTTCTCCAGCGCGCGTCCCAGCCTGTGCGTCTCGAGTGACACTTACTGAGCGCCTACTGAGGGGGGCTTTTGCTGCCCATCCCTAGAAGCCTTCCCATTAACGCAGGGAGGGAGGCACGACTGCTGTTACCAGCAAGCACTTTTCCCTCCCCAACCAATGCAAACCTCCCGCGCACTTCAGAACCTCCCGCTGTCTTTAGACACAAGCCCCCATCAAACCTGGTCTTCCCCACGACCATCTACTGCGCACCCCTGGGGTTCTTCATAGTGACCCCTAGAAGTCTGGATCTGCTCTGTTGCATGGAAGGCGTTTACTTCGATTCAGCAAATGTTCACTCTTGGACCCAAGTTGAGATTTACTAATATAAACAGTGATTCTTTATCATCACACACATTTTTTTTTAACTGCAGACAAGCAGAAAGAGGGGCCGATGCAAAACTTATCTTGTATTCCTAAATTGGTTTTTGGCCTGAAGGCGTTAGTGACCCATCCCAAGGACTTAAAAAGGGACCTTTCCTCTCCTTCTCTCCTCTCCCTCCACCAAAGTGTGGAGGGGGAAGCCACCTCGGCACCCAGCTGTGGACCAACTTTAGATAACAATACATACCCTCCGCAGAGTTGTTCTGTGGCTGCTGGAGTTGGTGACGGGAGGTTATGAGTCACTGAAGACCCCTCCCTTCCCTCGGGCTGCCCCTGTAGCAGCTGGTGGTAACCTCCTCCCCTCACCATGATGCTTTACACTAGGCTTTAAAAGTTTGCAGAGCAGTGTCCAATACATGCCATTCACATATCCATTAATTCAATTAACTACTGTGGTCATACTTTGTGCCATGCACCAATTTGGGTGATGAAGATGAAGCAGTGAACAGAACAGGCAAAAATCCCTGACCTCCTGAAGTTTGCCATGTAGTAGGGAAAGAAAGGTTATAGGCAAAAGAGATGATGTGCCAGATGGTGTAAATGCTATAGAGGAAAATAAAGCTGTAATAGGGAAAAAATTTTGTATCCTACTACAAGTTAATCACTAAAAGGGTGTTTCCTATAAGCTTAAATTACATATAATGGCCCATCTCTGCGAACCCTGCCTCCCAGGTAATGAGCATGAAGCTAAAATACCTTTGGTTAGCTCACAGGAACCATCCTTACCAGGCCCACCTGTGAATGACTGCAGGGAGGAAGAAATTAACACATCCCCTCCAGAGGCTGACCAGAACCAGCAAATTTTGGCTTTACTCCTTCCCCTTTTAGTATAAAAGAAGCCTGAATTCTGACTCAGGCAAGATGGTTCTTTGGGGCACAAGTCCACTATCTTCTTGGCTTGCTGGCTTTCTGAATAAAGTCATTATTCCTTGGCCTCACAACTCGTCTCTTGATTTATTGGCCTGTCGTGCGGCAAGGAGTACGAGCTTGGGCTCAGTAACAAAGCGAGGAAGGGGGATAGGAGGTATGAGTTGGGGTGCAGTTTCAAACTTTAGAGAAGGCCTCCCTGAGAAGGTGACATTTAAGCAAAGACGTGAATGAATTGAGGGAGCAAGCCAAGTGGATATCTGGGGGAAGAGTATTCCAAGCAGCAGGAGGGCAAATGCAAAGACCCTGAGGCAGAAGAGTCTCTGAAATCATCAAGGTATAGTGAGTGTGTTCTTACCATTAAAAAAGATAACGTTTGACATGATAGAGGTGTTAACTAGCGCTAAGGTGGTAGTCATATGGCAATATATAAATATATCAAATCAACAGGTTGTACACCTTAAACTCACACAATGTTATATGTCAATAATATCTCAATTTTTAAGAAAGGAAGAGTGAGTGTGAGGCTGAAGTGGAATGAGTGAAGGGGAAAATTACAGGAGGTGAAACTGGAGAAATGATAGTTCTTTGGGTCCAAAAACAAAAGCATTAAGGATGTGTGAGGACTCCCCCAGGGAAGCTGCAGAGAGGTGTCTGGAAAGGGACAGAGATCACCCCCCACCCCAGTTGCTCTGTCCTTCCCCGCTCTTTAGGGTGGTCCCTCAGTTCTGCAGGGGCCAGCCACCAGGTGAGGCTTCTGTAGGCCACAGCAAGTAGGGAGGATGCCAGACTTCAATAATTCACTCAACAAATACTTGCTGAGCACCTGCTGTGGACCAGGCTCCTTCCAGGAGAAAACCCCTCTAGGTGCGTTGCCACACTGCCCAGACTCTGGTCCGAAACATAAGCAGTACTCCTAGAAGCTTAACAAGAGAGAGCAGCTGGGCTGTAGGGAAGGCCAGGCATGTGTGGAGAGGAGGAGATGCCTGCAGCCTGCTGGTGTCTGGCTGTTTACAGACCTGAGGCTTCCTCTTCCCCAGGTCCTTAGTGATGGCTAAGACCAGACACAGAGCATGATTGTCTAAGAGATCCCAATCTGCAACCCTAGGGCGCCAAGAAGTAATTCACTCACCTCCACCCCAGCTTTGGTTTCTGACTAAATTGATTTCCCTGGTGACATGGAAGTGGGTCATGCCTACAAGGCTGTTTTTTCTTTCCATCTTATTGCACACTCACTATGTGTCAAATCACATGTATCATTTTCATTTCACATCAGCCCTAGCAGGCACACTATTTCTGGGACATCTCTATCCCCAGTTTACAGATGAAGACACTATAGATTCGGAAAGCTAAGAAATATGCTGGAGATCACAGAGCAGGTAGGCTGGCGCTGGAGTTCAAATCCAAGTTCATCTGGGACCTGAGTTCTCATGGCTCAGTCCTGAAGAGAGCCCTTCTAGGGGCTTGGTTTCCTCTGCGCCCAGCATCTATCCTCGGCATCCTCCCCGGCCATTCAGAATGGGTCTTTTTGTCCCCACTGAGTCATGCACTGTTGTCCTTGGGTTAGAGTCTATACCCCTCCAAGAGCTGGTCTTAGTGCCATCCCCCCTCACACTCCTCACCCCCCCGCCACAGTGTGCCATGCTCATAGAACTCAGTAGGAATATTGTCCCTGGGAGCAGTTCAAGATGCCCTCTCTCCAAAAGGCTCCACCACCCTTTCTCTTCCCCTCTAACTTGTGTGCTCTGTTCTTCCACTTCAGTGACATGCACTCTCCCCTAATCTGGCTCAGAGGGTTCCACCAGCTTTTTTTTTTCTCCAATTGCAAAATAAATGCATGCTTACTATGTAAAACTTGGAAAATAAAAATGCTCAAAAAAAAAATCACCCTAAGTATACCACTGGGAGAGAACCACTGATTCCCTTTCAGCCCTTGTATCCATATCTACCTAATAGTAAACGTATTTGGGTTCCTATTGTATTTAGGGCTTGTCACCTGCTTTTTAAACTTAATGGTCCTTTATGAACATTTAACCAGGTGTTCTACAACAGCAGTTCTCAAACTATTTGAATTCAAAACGCCTTTATCTTAAATTATTGAGGACTGCAAAGAGCTCTTGTTTATGTGGGGTATATCTGTCAGTATTTGTTCTATTAGAAATTAAAACAGAAAGATCTTAAATACCAATTTATTCATTTTTTAAATGTTAATATGTAAACAAGTTACACATTAATATAAATAATGTATTTGTATAAAAAATAACTATATTCTCCAAACAAACAAAATTCAGTGAGAAGAGTGTCATTGCCTTGCAACTTTGCGCATTTCTTTAATGTCTGGTTTAACAGAAGATAGCTAGATTCTCATGTCTCCTGTATTTGGTCGTTGCTATCTATTGTTTTAAGTATAAAAAAATCCAGCCTACATTAAAAAAAAAAAACAGATATGTGTTTGGGAAAAGATAGAAGATTTTAATATCCTTTTCAGATAATTTTGGATGTTCTTCTTTGATACCATACCAAAACCCAAAAAGTAGTAGTTTCTTAAAGGTTAATAGCAATGTAGAATCTGAAACCAATGGATACATTTTTGAATTTGGTAACATAAAAATCCATTAATCTACTTTTTTATTATTTTGAATGGATTTATTAATCTATCTTATTTGGGGGGGAATGAGCAGAATTCTTAAATTTTATTTTACATTTAAAAAGTCTGCATTAGGACAGGAATAAAGACGCAGATGTAGAGAATGGACTTGACACGGGGAGGGGGAAGGGCAAGCTGGGACGAAGTGAGAGGGTAGCATTTACATATATACACTACCAAATGTAAAATAGATAGCTAGTGGGAAGCAGCTGCATAGCACAGGGAGATCAGCTCGGTGCTTTGTGACCACCTAGAGGAGTGGGATAGGGAGGGGATATGGGGATCTATGTATACATATAGCTGATTCTCTTTGTTATACAGCAGAAACTAACAAACATTGTAAAGCAATTATACGCCAATAAAGATGTTAAAAAATAAATAAAATAAAAAATAAATTAAAAGTCTGCATTTAAAAAAAAACACCATAAATCAAGTCCAAGTAGAAATGATAAGCTAGGAAAACATGATTTGTAACTCACACCAAAGGCAAAGGGCTGATTTCCTTAATAGTCTCTTATTTTTTTATCCATTATTTTGATGGACCTTTAAGCCATGCACGATTTGGTATAATCACTCATTGGTCATTTGGAAAACAGTGGTTCACTGAGTTATACAGATCTCCCAGTCTTCCAAATGCCAACTCCTTTCATGGTACAATCAGATCACATTCCTTAATATCACCGCTGATATCAACAGAAGGTTTTTAAGTACTGAGAAGATTTCAAGCTCATGGTGG